CCGTACGACTTACCTACTTTACCTTACTACTTTACGTTACCTAACCAAACTTAAAAGTAACTACCTCTCTCCCTACTCGTGTCGTAGTCTCTCTCCCCGTACCTTACCCTAACTACCTCTCTCTCTCTCTCCTCCCTCCCTCCCTCTCTCTCTCTCTCTCATTCTCTCTCTCTCTGTGCAAAACTGGAGAGTAAATCTATGTTTTACTAAATGATCTTCTTAGAAGAGGAGGGCTTCTAAATGAAGCAGAGGAATTACTAAAAGCTTCACCATTTGGGGTGAATTCAACAATGGTGAGCTCACTGCTGAGAAGTTGCAGAATTCATGGGAATTTGAAGATGGGTAGACAAGTTGTAGAGGCGTTAATGGAGCTGGAACCTGAATTGGCGTCGAGTTATTTGCAAGCTTTGAATATGTTTAGTGAGAGTAAGAATTCTACTGATTCCTTAGAGATTAGAGAGATGATAAGAGAGAAGAAGTTTGAGAGGGAGCGTGGGTATAACTTATATATAGTGTGAGAATGGCATTGTTTAGTTAGCAGTCATGTCTTTTTTAATGAGAGGGAATTTTGTGGATTGCAACGGATGTTAAGAGAGATGATAAGACAGAAGAAGGTCAAAAGAGTGCATGTATACATCTTAATTAGCCTCCATTTTAGACTGAAGTGCTGACGGCCTTAATAACCAGTAAGGGAGTTTAAAGCAAATATTGGAAAGTTGATGAGATAACATCAAAGAATGAAGGAATATTTGTCAAAGAATAATCTAAAGAGTTTTGAGAGATACTAAAGAGATGATAAGAGAGAAGGCCAAAAGAGTGCACATATGGATAATGAGAGAGAAAAATTAATTCGGCCTGAGTTTTAGCTCAGTCCAGATTACCTTTCACAATTAGGGAGTGGCAGTCTTGAGCAGATATTATAGATGATGAGAGAGAAAAGAAATCAAAAGTGTGCAAGGGTAACATACTAATTTAGCCTAGACCTTTTGCAATTATTGAAATTGCATTAAAAGATTAGAAAGAGAACAAAGGAATTTGGGGAAGTTTACTCCTGTTAGCCTAGACTTTGGGTTTATTCATGTTACCCTTTTGCACAAACACATAGATTTGGGGAAGTTAACAGGGAGGGGGAGTGAGAGAGAGAAAGAGACAGAGAGACAGGGAGAGAGGGATTTGGGGAAGTTAACGGAGAGAGAGGGATTTGGGGAAGTTAACAGGGGGAGAGAGAGTGAGAGATATGGGAAGAGAGGAAAAGCGTTGGGTTGAAGAGAAAAAGAAACACATGAAAAGAGAGGACGTTTAAAAAGGACATATTTTTTTAATTTGTTTGAGCTAAAAAGATGAGGGTAAAAATGGGTAACGTTGGTCCAGGGGGTTAGAAAATATAAAAGATAGAATCATAATGCTGCAAGATAGGTTTTAAAACCCTTGGTATATAGAGAAATGAAACCTAAAAATAAGGTCTATGGAGATATTTTCCCTTCTGTTAATCGATCCGGGTCAAATGGTCACTCATACTAAATGAAAATTTTATTTTGCTAATTCTCATGAAAGTAATCCAGAACTTGGGCATGGATGGCCAACCACGATTGAAGAGGATTGGCCAGCCCTAAGGAGGAAATATTTTGCTTCTCAGGGTTCCTAGGAATAACAGATTCTACTACAGCCAAATCCACTACTATCTTTGAGGGTCTGAAGCGAGCAATTTCTCTTGTCGCTAGGGTGGGATCTCTAGTAGTGAAGGGGATGCAAGGAATGTCATTAATTGAGCTGCTAGAGAGGGCCAACCTCCATGGAGATTTGCTCAAGTCATTGACCATATTTTGATGCATTGCAAGAACCTCCGAGTGACTCTCCGCCATTTCCTAAGAGCAGCCGACCATCACGCTGATCGGCTGGCTACAGAAGGTGCTCGGGGTGGCTCAATGATAGGCGGGACTATAACGTCTCTCCCCAAACCCCATGAAGTACCAGTGATTGACCCAAGGTTTCCAACTTCTCTCTCTACCTTTCCTCATCTCCCCTCTTTCCTCAATTTTGCCTTCTCTCCTCTATCTATATCTGCTCCCCCATCCTTTTAATCTATCTCTCATATGCTATCTTCTCATGTATGTCCTCATCTGTTTTTGGTACTTGAGCTCCCATTGAGTGTAGCCATTTTTGTAATGCTTGGAGTTTTAGGGTTTTCTTTATAAGCACTAGGGCTGTGGGTTGCCATATTCTCCCATTCCTCCTTTCTCTACTTTTTTTGCCACTCATGCTTTCCTGGGCACTTAGATTACAGGCTGCCAACGAAGGCCATGGTTTTCTTTTTTTTTTTTTTTTTTTTTTTTTTTTTTGGTTTTGTCATATAGCAATACAATAGAGTCAAACCTTATCCCACAAAAAAAAAGCTGTCAGATGCTACTCTTTGGGAGAATTAGATTTTCTGTTGTCAACAGTAATCACAAACATGCAAGAAACTCAAGCATAATCTTGTAGGGATTAGCCATAAATATGATAGACATAAGTATAAAATGGACAAGAATCTAACAAGAGGTCAAAATTGCATGTTTCCGACTTTAACCTCTAGAGTCTAATCGCACAAGAGGTTGCAGAATGAAATATTAGTACAACCGATGAGGTTTACAAGGATTCTGAATATTCTTCAAAATGGTTGCATTGAAGGAGGATTATAATCAGCATAGCAATTGAAATATGAACACATTCAATGCTTAATCATGGTCACTTAGATCAGATATCACATTCCTGGATTTTCTAGAACATCAATGCTCTCTGTTCAAAATATCTTGAGCAATGTAAACATCCCATTTCAAATGCTTTTCCATAATGAAATGATGACATTAAATTGTAGACATGCTTTACAAAGAAAATTGATCAAAGACAAGACCAGGAAAATCCAAACTTCATATTTATCTTTTCAACAATGAGAGAAGCATGCCATGGGAGAATAATACAGATGAACACTTCCTGGATTACCAAAAAATCCAAATCACACAAATTTACCAAAATGCTCCATACAAGCAACACACTCAGATTTGAGGTCAAATTTTCAGCAAGTCGCATTGAATATCAGATAATTGATGGTGTCAATTATCTCTTTTCATAAGTAGTGCATACCATGTAATTTTAGTGTAGACATGGCGAGACGCTCTTATATTAACGATTTTTCAGACCAACATCGTAGATGCACTGAATTGCACTAGCTAGGGTTTTGACTAATAGCGGGTTTTCATGTTGAGCTTGAAGAAATGATACCCAATATGTGTTATCATAATTGAAACCAACAGCACATTTTTGCCGCAGATCAACTCCAGATAACACTGGATTTTGACGTTGAGAATTACATTAAATCAGACTTTTTACATGCAAACAAGTGAAATAATGGTTTATTGAACAAACTCCAAGTGCATAGAAACAAAAATATGCAATCAACTCTCCATTTTTTTGCAATCAACTCTCCATAGAGATCTGTAGGGTGTTGGAGTTCTCAAAAAATGCTACAAAACATAATAGTCAGCTAATACATAAAAAAATCCAAAATCCACTCTTTGATTTCCACCAACATGCAGGTTACTTAACCAGAAAGTTATGGTAGTTCACTTTCTTAAATCAAATCAGTCATTGGTCGAAAAAAGAACACGCAGAATACTTGCCAAACTACCAAAGATCCCAACCACAAATCAAATCCTGCAAATTCAATAACTATTACATAATACTAATTCTTGAGAAGAAATAAGGAAGATAGAGAGAGAGATCCTCACTTGAAAGCTCTGCAACCTGCTGTGGAGTGAGTTTTGCAGAGAATCCACTTGCCGCCTCCTTGTAACTGTAAAGGATTGCATCTTTGGCCGCTTCTTCACTGTGTAAACAAAGAAACAAACCAGAAAACAATTCCAAAGAATCAGGCAGAGAATACAAAATCATGGGTTCCAGAAATGGGGAATTGGTGTACCTTCCAAGCACGGAAGCTAGGGTTTTGATGTGAAAGGCTTCTGGCTCTTCACCGTCACCGGGTTTCTCAGTGTAAACGATTTGAACGGCTGCCTTAGCTTCTTCGGATGAGGAACCTGAATCCGCCATGGCCACAAACAAGAGAGCTGAGATTGCCAATCCAATAATCAAAGCTTTCTTCACCGTGCTTCGCATTTTATACTTTTTTTTAGCGTGAGAATCAATGAAGCAGAGCCGCCTTCCAATTCTCTCCTTTTTAAAGGGGCGTCGTTTATGACGTCATCCCTGGAGAAGAGAAGGAAAGTTCCTTTGCTTTCATGGTCACGACTTTAAGCGAAAGACACGATCCATGGGTTGATGAGGACAATAGATACAGCTTTCAGCCCTTTGATGCCAAAACACTCATTAATTTTGAATTTTTTTTTAAAAAATATTGAGTGAAAATAAATGACCACATCCCTTCAAAAGTTCTAGAGGTATTATAAAAAAATTTTATTGAAAAAAATATTTTTTATTATTTTTATTATGTGCACCCCCGTTAGAGTATACGACCAAATTTTTGCTACAAAATGATTTATAGAATAAAGATTAAAAATAAAACTATTGCTACAAAATGATTTATAGAATAAAGATTAAAAATAAAATTCTTTGAGCCATTGGATCAAGATTTATCGGTCGATAGCTAACTTGTGACATTGTGACTCAAGTCATCCACTCAAATTTGACTGCTAAGAGTAAGAGTGAGTATACCTTTTGCAGGTGGGGTTACATGTAAGGGTGCAGTTTGCATACGGATGCATCCGCATGCGTAGCCGTAAGGTGCACCTTCAAATTTTATCATGGTATATAATTTTGATGCAAAATGATCTTAGGATTATCTCAAAATCTATTTTTATATCTAATTATAAAATTTTAAATTTAAAAAATAGTTAAAA